CTGGTGGAGACCCTGAGCCTGCCTGTGCTGGCTGCTTACCTGGACGCCCTGCAGACCCTCAAAGGAAAGGTGATCAGAGCAGGGGGAGCCTTGGCTGCTCCAGGTGATGTTCTGCCTTGGCACAGCTGGGACAGGGAGGAGCAGGGAGGTGTTACCCCGTGTTTTGGGGATGTTCTGGCTCAGTCCCAGTGTTTTGGGGCAGTTTGCTCAGTCCAGGTGTTTTGGGGGTATTTTGGGGTGTTTTGGCTCAGTCCCCGTATTCTGGGAGTGTTTTGGCTCAGTCCTGGTGTTTTGAGGGTGCTTGCTCAGTCCCTGTGTTTTGGGGGTGCTTTGGGCATGTTCTGGCTCAGTCCCCATATTTTGGGGGTGTTTGTGCAGTCCCTGTGTTTTGGGGGTGTGTTGGGAGTGTTTTGGGGGTGTTTTGGCTCCGTCCCTGTGTTCTGGGAGTGTTTTGGCTCAGTCCCCATATTTTGGGGGTGCTTGCTCAGTCCCCGTGTTTTGGGCGTTTTGGCTCTGTCCCCTTATTTTGGGGGTGCTTTGGGCATATTTTGGCTCAGTCCCCTTATTTTGGGAATGTTTTTGGGGTGTTTTGGCTCAGTTCCATGTTTTAGAAGTGTTTTGGCTCAGCCCCTGTGTTTTTGGGGTGTTTTGGCGTGTTTGCTCAGCCACCCTGGCTCTGGTTGCAGATCCCCACGCTCATCGACAGGATGCTGCTGTCCTCCACGGCCAAGACAGGAGCGGCAGGGGCCGAGGCGCTGTCCCTGCTGCTCAAGAGACCCTGGGACCCCGCAGTGGGGGTCCTGTCCCACAACAAACCCGTGAGTGCTTCTGGGGGCTCCCACCTCAGCTTTGGGCTACCCCTCCTCTGCCTCTGTCTGCTCCCCTGCTTTAGAATTGCTCCATGAATGGAAGGGGTCACTGACCCACCCCCTGTCCCTGCACAGACACCCCAAAACCCCCTGTGCCCCCCTGTCAGCGCTGCCCAAACGCTCCTGGGGCTCTGGGGCTGTGCCCAGCACCCTGTGGGGACAGAAGAACCTTTCTCAAAATCCACCCCAAACCCCCCTGGCACAGCCCTGGCCATTCTCTGGGTCCTGTCACTGTCACCACTGAGCTCAGGGTCTGTCCCTGTCCCACAGAGCTCAGGTTCTGTCACTGTCCCTGTCCCATGGAGCTCTGTCCCTGTCCCATGGAGTTCTATTCCTGCCTCAGTGAGCTCAGGCTCTGTCCCTGGCCCTGTCCCCATCCCTGTCACACTGAGCTCGGGCTCTGTCCTGCACAAAGGAGGGGAGTCCTCTCTTTTCACACCTTACCTTGGGCTATCCTGAGGGAGCTTTGCCTTCAGAAGACGATTATTAACGAGCTGTGCAAGGTTCCTCCCTGTTCCCTGTGTCAGGGAGGTTTTTCCTGGGAGCTGCCGTCCCTGACATGGTTGTGGTTGGACTTTGCAGAGCAAACTGCCCGGATCCCCCCTGATCCTGATCGCTTCCTCCGGCCCCGCCAACTCCATGTTCCCCACGTCCCGACGGCACCGCTTCTGGCAGTCCCAGCTCTCCTGCCTGGGAAAGGTCTGTGGGGCTGACTGTGTGGGGCCGGCTCTGGGGCTGACTGTGTGGGGCTGGCTCTGTGGGGCTGGCCCTGTGGGACTGATTTTGGGGCTGGCTGTGTGGGGTCGGCACTGGGGCCGGCTGTGTGGGGTTGGTATAGGGCTGGAGCAGAGCGGGTTTGCATTGGGAGTTTGGGGAATTCTCCAATCCCATTGGTTTTAGTGGTTAGGATTGAATCC